TAATCACAGCAACAATAATAGGCGTTGCTATGGCTGGAATAGGCGTCACCGCAGCTCTTACTCACCATGGTTATCAGATTCAAGAACTTCAAGAACAATTACCTAAACATAAAGTAATAATGGAAGAAATGTCAAAAGTTATCAATGATCTACAATACTCATTGAATAAACACTCATCTGTGATTAACAATAACACCAAACGGCTCGATAACTTGGAAACAAATCTTCTACACACTATTTTAACTACATCTGGAATAGCCAACAGATTTGAATCACAACGAATCCAGTTGAACGACATCTTTAAACAAATGCAAATCCACAAGGTCAGCAGTCAAATGTTCTCGTTCCTCAATCTTTCAGCGGAGGAAGAATTTAGATATCCTCACGAACTCATGTCAATAGACAAGTGTTTATTCGATACAAAGAAACACGAATTACATCTTCCCTTACATGGATTCGAAAGAAGCTATCGATACTTTTGGCTGAAGCTGATCCTTTCTGGCTACGAGTAGATAAAGAAAAATGTATTAGATATGTTGGTCCTAAATTTGTCCTCAACGACAAAATTTCAAAAACTGTTTGTCGAATCCAAAATCAGGCATTACAGATGGGTCCCATTATAATCACCAAGAACTTTAATTGTGACAAAGAAATTTTAGGCATAGATAACTTTTGGAAACCGAAAGAATGCCCTGAAGGAATTGATAGTGATCTACAAATCAAAATCAAATCAGAAAAAAGATTAGTCTACTGTTACGGACATTCCATCATAATGGCAAATAAGAACATGAGCTGTCCAAATTTGGTATTCTCATTTCCTTCTACTCTTCCATTAACAATAGACAATGAAACTTTCGACTACTATCGAATCTATCATTCAGCCAAATTAGAACAAATTCCAGCTGATGCCGAAACAATTAATCATTTCCTTTTTGCCGGACAAACTCACACTCAGCTCTTAGAAATGGTTAAAATCTCTAATTTTGATAAATCATTCATTGCAATCGTTCAAAGCAATCCTTTTACAAGTACTATTGCTTTCATCATCATCATCACAATCTTACTAATATTCATATACATCATTTACAAGAATTATCAGTTACTTCTCAACAAAATAGTGTCCTCAGATAAAAGAACAAACCAAAACGTCACTAATTTGGAAGACATGGAAATGCAACAAATCTATGAAACACCAGAAGTAACAGATGATCCATCTTCACAACCAAGTCAAAACAAGACAAAACTAAAACTTCTCTTCAGATTGAAACATGAAAACCCTGAAAATTAAGGTCATTTTTACAAATTTATAACTCCGCCCTCGCTAACTTTAAAAATCAACAAAAATAGATTTACATAGTTTAGACCTTACCATATCAGAAAATATATAATCTTTGATAAAATCGACGCGGGTATGACGGGTGGTCAAAACTCGAACACCTAAACCAAATCACAAATCACAGTTTTGATCAACAATCATCACCATTTATCCAATCATTTAATTCAGTTTTTGCTCATTCCTAAAACTAAAACATAGTGATAGTGGTATAGTAGGGTACTGTGAAAATACACTCATAAAAAAGTGAACTTTAATGAATATCGTAAAATATGAATGAAAAGACTAGCCAACGTGAGCCAAAACAAAAAAAACGCGGTCAGAATAATCCATATACCAGTCTAAAATGTGAAAGTTTATCTTCATCAAATTGGCGACCAACATCTTCTGAGACTAAGATTCCAAAAGATCCACGACTTTGTAAAGACAATTACTGAAACAAGAGCCTGTTTCATCTTCTCTTTATCAACTCCTCCCTTTCATTTTGGAAATCTTAGGAAATCACCCAAGCATCACAAAAAGATGCTCTATCAAATTAAGTGTTCCATAAAGCTGTATCAATTGGTGCCCGCTGGTGCTGACAGGTCAAAAAAGGATTTTGTTGATAATCAATGAAACAAGGGACTGTTTCAGCTTCTAGTCGAGGGAAATGTAACGATAAATTTTACCTCTTCATCATTTAATCAAGTTCCGATATATTAACATCCTGTCAAACCCTTATTTAGAACACTTCCTATTATTAATTACCATTGATTACTTTTCCTTTGTTAATTAACTAAATATGGTCAACACCATATTTAGACTATTCTTTTTCTCATTAATAACCAACAAAAGGTGAATCAACGTTTATCTCCCGATTCACTCATAGCTCCCTATCATCTAGTATAAAAGAACGAACCAATGTAATAGAATTAACTCAGTTCATCAGGATCAACAGTATCAACATAATTATCAGTGTTAACCAACATTTAATTGTAACCATCAACTTATTGAATTCATCATTAATAAATATAACCTTAAAATTATATCATTGTGTTTATTTTCAACTAAGTCCGCTCGGTAACGTTACAAAATGGTTCACGATTCATGAAGACAAACGATTAAATGAAATACAATCATTTTCTGTAATTTTAATCAATCATGCAATCAAATTTGTCTGACAATTTATTCTGAATTTGTGCTAAGTTGATCAGGTATGCAAATTGTTTTCTCATTTGGTGTCAATCAAATGTGATTTTTTTTTCAATCTCGATTTTAATAATCAATTAGTATGACAATAGACTAAAAATTAGAGTACATATTAGACTCACTAGACTATCATTACTTCAGCCAGTTAATCATTTGAAAAAAGTATTTTCTGCGAGATGATTAAGCAAACAATTTATATGAATAGCTGAGTCTCTTTATTCATTTCTCATATTAAACCCTCAGGCAATATTCAGATTTACATGTTATCACTTTACACTAATGTATAATCACCATAATAATCATCAGTGAATATGGACTGAAATGAAAATGAGAAATAATCAGTTTCCATTGGAAATCAGTTTCCACCATAGTTACCTTGATTCACTTTCATTGTATTAAATATCATTATCTTATCAAATATTATATATCATCAACTGAGTAAGTTATTCAATTCAGTAAATTTGCAGACATCATGATTTTCAGTAGCAATTCATGTAACTCCATTACTGTATTAGAATATTAAAAGTTAACTTCAACTCTACATTCCCATGAAATAAATCATTACATTCAGATATTATTATCATGTTAACCATCATCATGATTATTATTATGTCGGAATGTATATCAATCCATTTAATGATGTTCTCAAAATTGAATTGGATTAACTTAATGGTCGATTCATTCATGGTTATGATTATATATATATATTTAAGCGGGGATGAGAATTGAACAGAATGTTCCTTGTAAATCCTGAATTTCCTAATGAACTTTACCAGAATAGTTTTTCAATCTTTCCACTTGAATAGAAACTCATTATTTATATTTGAAACAACTCTCACCACCTACAGGGAGTTGAATTTATATGAATATTTTCATGATTAAAATGTTGTTTATCATTTTTATACCTCATGATTATCCTTTTTTTTCAGTAGGTAAAACATTTTAAACCAATTAAATACAAACATTAACATGGTTAAACTGACAGAGATAAAAATAGTTAATCATTCCCAGTGGGTGACGATTCATAATCAAACAGTTCATATCGTTTGCATGATTATTATCACCATGAAATCCATACACAGATAATAAAAGCCATTAGATAAAAATTAAAGACACCAATTGATTGTGATATTACTAAATCATTTGACAGAATTGAATATCCATCATGATCAATTGGTGATCTATGGATGATGGTGATTAGTTTAATCCGAGGGATCAACTATTAATATTATCTGAAAGGTTGAATAAAAGTATCAGATTAAAAATCTCATTGAGATTTTCCATCAATTGCAACAATTTAAAGCTCGTTAACGATCAATTATCAATCAATCAATGAGATAATCTTAATGATAATCAGAAAACAACATTCGGTAAGATTGGAATGAAACAGTTAATGACATTTGATTATTTCTTTTTCTTGTCACAACCCATTTATATCTTTTTTTAAACTTTAATCTTAATCTTAATCTTAATCTTTTATATGGTCACTATTCCCTCATAATTATTGCTTTCGGCTATTTAGATTATCTCATGTACTTCCTACTCTCTTTATTCAGTTAATTGGTTTTGACTCTGATAGAAATGTCACCAATCTGATTTACTTAGAAAAAGATGAGATTAACAGAAAAGATTGTGTTTGATCAATAAGATAGTAGCTGATAATCATCATGATCATTTGAATCGTTTCATTGAGCTACTACATGGATAATTTATCAGAAAAAGAATAAAAAAAACCCGGAAAAGTAAAGAATCATCAACGTTTACATTTGATAATATTAATAGAAACTCAGATATTACATTGGATTAAATGAAAAAGAATTTGAAAAAAAAAGAAATACAAGATGATTTTCTTGTTATTCTCATGAATAAATAAATTGCTCTTTTAATGAACATTGAGATTTCTTTGTATAAGTTTATGGTCAAGGTGAAGGTCAAGTCTTTATTCATCTTCATCTTCTCTCTTTTCTATCTCTCTCTCTCTCTCTCTCTCTCTCTCTCTCCTCTCTCATCATCTTCTTAATCCACACTCAGTCCAACCCCCTCCCGATCTCTGGATCAATCAAGTACCAGGTATGAAGAGACCGGTCTTGGCCCGTCTTCTTATTGACCTTAACTGCCCAGAGGTTTTAAAGAAACCAAATACCTCAATGATTACATGTGGTCAATAATTTTCATTCCCAATGGTTGAGCTTCAGTAAATTTTAATAGTCAATTTAATCACCATTGTGTGATTAGAGTAAATTTATCTCATTTTCATGGGTAATTAGCTGATTGCTATGAATTGGAAACACAATAGTTAACCAAGAACTGAATAACCAAAGTTTCACTTAAAACTGAATTTCTCATGCACCACAAATGAAAATGATACACTCTTTGAATTAATAACACAAAATAACCAATAATTATCAGTTAATTGTCATTCAATTAAGTTTACGTATGAATTGGTAAAAAAAAATTAACTACAGAGATCATCTTGATATTGTTATGTTGTTAAACATGTTGGTTTTTATTGAAATTGAATTGATAATGAAAGTGAGTTGAGTTGATTAGGTGAAAATTGTAATAATTTAATCAAACGATGACCCGTTATTATACATCCTGTGCAAGTAAATTATTACCTGAGGTGGGTTAAGGTGGGTTAAGGTGGGTGATTGTGATGATTGATTAACCACTGAACGGTCTGGCAGTGGTTGATGAAACCAAAGTTGATCTCATTCGGTTCATGAGGTTGGTAATGTCGGTTGTGATTCGGTTAACTCGAACTCTGTGAATTTTGAAAGGAAACAAAGTTTTATTAGTTTGTTGTTGACTTAAATTGTTGATCACAATCAATCAGTTTATTTACCTTAAACTTTCAAAGAAAGCGTTGCTTGGATAGCCAGCAGTTCCTGAGCCATCGTCAGCGGGTGGGGCAGAAGCTGAAGATGCAACAGCTTGAAGGGCTCGAAGTCGATTCTGAAGACGTTGTAAATTGTTTTGTACTCCTCGTAAATAGGATCTCATTGATCGCATCATAGCGGCGGTCATGTATCGTCGATTGGCCATCAAATCTTCAATTGATTGCTATTGATTAGATTAGAGGTGGAAAATGGTTAGAAATGAGGAGAAAAGTGATTTAAATGGTCAAGACTTACATCAAGATTGTGAATGGTCATTTCGATTTGATCAACCATACCAGCAATTTGCTCATTTTGACGGGCATCAGTTGAACTGGGCTCAATAGCGGGCTCTTCTGAACCAGCTCCATAAGAAAGTGGACTCAAAGTGGATGCAGCATCATCTTTCAAGTCAGTATTGAGATAACCTTTTATCTGTTGTTCAAGGTCAACAAGTAATTTGGTTGCCTGGTTGATTGGCTCAGCAAGATAAGCTGAAATATCTGAGCTGGAGGATGAAGCAGAGGCGGCAGCAGTTGCTTCAGGCTTAACCTCATCAGCTTTGACAGGAACAACCTTGATGGTTGGTGCAGCGAGAGCAACAGCTACAGGAACAGAATCAGCAACTGGAGCCACTTGGGGTGAATTCTTGGCAACTGAATCCTCTGAAACTCCTGCTGAGTATTGAGATGGAGCTTCAGTTTGAACTTCAGCAACTGATGGCGATGCAACTGGAACCTCAGCAACTTTTTCTGAACTTTCCACTTTCTGAACTTTTTGTACAGTTGAAGATTTACCTTCATCTGATTTACCTTTTTTTACTTTCTTTTCGGGAACTGAATCAGAGATAATTGTTGACACAGTGGCGAGTTTGTCAACTGAAATTTCATCCTGATTAGAGACCACTGGTGATTTTGATTTATCAGCCACTGGCGAGATCTCATCTAAGCCAACTGATGAAACTGGAGCAGCAACTAAATCATTGACAACCGAATTACCTTCAACTCCATCAACTGATGGAACGACAGTTTCTGATTTAGATCCATAGAAAAGGATTGATTCAGTTGATCCACTTGATTTTGATTCAACTGATTCAACAACAGGTCCAGCAACAGGTAAACCATTACCTTAATTGTAATAAGAGAGAAAAAAATTAATCGAATAACCAAAAAAAAACAGTCACCAATTAATTGTAGAAAATTATGTTCAATTAAATATTCCATGTTAATTTCAATTCTAATAAAAGTTGAATCAGTAATCAAGTGACTTATCAATCAACTTGATTCCAGGATTAGATGAAATTATTAATGAATGAATAAAAATCTTACCGATTACAAAAAGAGAAACAATAAAGATTGAGATGATTAATCCTTTCATTTTGATTGAGTTAATTATTGTAACAACACTTTCGCTGATCACAATTGGAAAAAAAATGTTCCCGTTTCAATTGAGCACAATTAAAGTTTTTCAAGTTAACTGATCCCAGAGTGAAGTTTAAATGTAAATGACTTTCACTGGAGTATTTGGTTTCTTTATAACCTGTGGTGGGCAGTTAAGGTCAATAAGAAGACGGGCCAAGACCGGTCTCTTCTTACCTGGTACTTGGTGGATCCACAGATCGGGAGGGGGTTGGACTGAGTGTGGATTAAGAAGATGATGATGAGATAATAGAGAAAGAAGAGAGAAAAGGGAGGAGGTAAAGAGAGAGAGAGATGATTAAAGATCAGAGATGAAGATGAAGATGGAGAATTAGAAAAATACTTACCTTTACTTTCCCCTTGATTCTTGCAAAGAAAATCAATAATCCGGTTGTTTGAGATCATTGGAATGGCCACAAAAGGGCAATACATTTATTCATAAGATTAACAAGAAAAACATCATTTATTATCTTCCTTTTTTATTTCTTTTCGGAACTTTTATCAATCTTCATCTTCATATTTCATTTGATTCTTTTTGATTTTTCCGGGTTCCATTATCATCTTTTTCTAATAAAATTATTCCAATTCTAATGATTGATTCAAATAATCATCAAGATAAATTCTCGGTGAGTCTCTTGTTCATTTAATTAACAGATCTGTTAATCTAAACTTTTTCTAAAGATTGGTGACATTTCTATCAAAGTCAAAGCAATTAATATGAAGGAAAGTAGGAAGAGAATAGGAAGTACATGAGATAATCTAAATAGCCGAGAGCAATAATCATAGTAGAATGGTGACCATGTGAAAGATGAAGATGAAGATTAAAATGGAAAAAATAAAAAAGTAAAAAAGCTAATCAAATGTCATTGATATTTAGCGTAATCACAAAGCTTTTAATCCAACCCTTTTATCTCTCAATTTGAATTATTTTCTTTTCTCAACCCTTTTTAATGTCTGAAGAGGTAAAAGGGCAATGGCTTCCAATTTTATTCGATTACTGAACTTCTTTTTTCTTATATCTTTTTGATTGTGCGTTTCACTTTAATGAGCGGGTTGAGAGATTAAGTTGTACCGGAGTCTCAATACAAGTGGAGTTTCTCGCGCTTTTTCACTAATTTACTTCTTTTATGACACTTGTATTTCTAACTCTTATTAGCTTATTAACTGACATTTTTTTTATACTCTCATTACTGAATTATGTCGATAAATAGCTTTACAAAAGGTCTTTTGACTTTAATCTTTGTTACCAGAGTTTTTTTTTGCTCATTTGAAAAAGTTAAAGAAGTTCTAATCCACGAGTATTAAATTGATATCTCTGTGGAAAAGTTGACCTTGACCGCATGACTTGAGATCTGAAGGAATTTAATAAGATCCTATCAATATGGTCCAGGACGTCTATCATGACCTCTGCATAGGTCCACCTCGCCCTCTCATTGGTGGACCACCACCTCCTCTACCCCCTTGGACCATCACCGCCACCACGACCTCGACCACTGCCCATATCACCGTCTCTAGGGCCAAAACCTCCTCGGCTACCTCCCATTCCTCCACGGCCCATTCCACGGCCACCACCTCGATCACCGGAGCCACCGCGACCTCCGCGCATACCTCCTCCATTACGTCTCATACCATCTCCTGCCATCTGTATTAATGGAAAATTTTCATTTATTTTGGCGCCTTTAAAGGTAAAATCAAGTTAAAAGCTAAACACATAAAATAGAATTCTGTGAAAAACAGAACGCAAATTTATCGCTTTTGAAACTATGCTCACTTGTCAAAAGATTTTGTAACAAAAAAAAACTCTAGTCGATTGGTACTCAATGGAAAATTCAAAATAAAAGAAAAAGAAAAAGTTACCTCTGAATGCAGTGAACCTCCATCTGAACCGCCCGGAGCTCCTCCAGGTTTTGGTGCTTGACATCGATTACATTCTGTCCTCCATGCGAAATTATTGTTCCCACAACTTGGATTAGGACAATTCCAGTCTCCATCTCTACCACCACCTCCAGATCGACCACCAGGCCCTTTAATAGAAGATAAGAAAAAAAAGAGAAACATATGAGTATCATGGTAAAGTAATCTCAGTAAATTAAAAAAACTAACCTCCGGGTCCACCTCCACCTCCGCGCCCAAATCCTCCACCCATGGGTCCACCTCGACCTCGACCTCCTCCACTGCCTCCTCCTCTACTTCCACCACGAACAAATCCACCTGGTGGTACTTTTCTTTGAGCCATTTCTACTTTAATTGTATTTCCCCACAGTTCTTTACCATTAAACCATGATATCGAGGAATTGGCAGTTGGAGGATCATCATAAGTTACAGTGGCTTCTCCTTTGCTTTGACCAGAGTCTTTATCTCTATAGATCCAAATTTTATCTCTACCAGTTTTTTTATCTTTCTGTAATATAAGAAAACAAAAATTAACATTGATTCAAATTGTATAAGATGAAGAAAATTACTTACTTTTATTAAACCAATGGAGCCAAAATATTCGGCAATATCAGTCTCAGTGGCTGTTTTTGGTAATCCCGAAACAAATACAGTGTCATGCATGTATTCAGCTAAAAAGAAAAAAGTGACAATGAGTTTAAACAAATCAAGTGACAAAAATACAAAATAAAACAAAAAATACAAACCTCCATGAGCTGAGTGTGAAGGTGGTCCCTGTGACTGATATCCACCGCCATAACCTCCTTGGGATGCATGTGAAGGTGGTCCTGGTGGTCCTTGTGATTGATATCCACCACCACCACCACCGCCACCATACCCTCCTTGAGCTCCATGTGAAGGTGGCCCGGGTGGTCCTTGAGATGAGTACCCACCTCCTCCTCCTCCACCACCACCACCACTACCATAACCGCCAGCAGTTGAATGTGAAGGTGGTCCAGGTGGACCTGGTGGACCCTGAGATTGATAACCACCGCCACCACCACTACCATAACCTCCTCCACCTCCATAGCCTCCACCACTAGGAGGATAACTAGAAGATGCATATCCACTAGAATTGTACCCGCCTGGAGCTGAATTAGATCCATATCCCCCTGCCATATAGCCTCCGCCATGAGAACTGCCAGAAGCACCATAGCCACTACTTTCATATGTGTCCATGTTTATTTTGTTTGAATAGACTTTCAAACAACTTTAAAAAAGAAAATCACAATTTAAATTTAGACAATAAGTTAATTAAATTTATTAATAATAAACCCAAAAAATAAATATTCCACAGAAACAAAAGAAAAGGATGAAAAGAGAGCAACTCGAAGGGAGAATGTGTGATACATACAATTGGCACGCGAGTCGCCACCTCTGTTTCTCTTTCTTTTGTTCGATTACAAGTGAAAAGAGATTCAAGAGATGAGAAAAGTAAGAGAGAAAACAGAGGTGGCGACTCTTCTTCGAGATTGTTTGCAAGGAAAAGCTTATTCTTTGGTAGGAGGAGAAGAATATCCGCAAGTGCGCAGATTACAAATATGTGTATCTGGTATTACAATCGTAGAGAGAGAGAGAGAGACGGTAGAGAACAAGAAAGACAGAGGTTAGAATTCAAGAGAAAGGGAAGAGAGAGAGAGAGAGAGAGACTGAGCTCTTTACAACATGAGAGCATTTATTACAAATTTTCATAGGGTCGGTCTCTCTCCTTGGTGCTAACCCATTCAAATAGCTTACATTTGGTAGGCAAGTCTGTTAAATATTCGGTTAGCAGGAAGAGAGAGAGAGAGAGAGAGAGAGAGAAAAGGAAAATTGAATCGGGATTTAAGGTCGATTATTGCGTTGCCAGAATGATGGTTTATTCCATGGGCAATATCGAAGTGTATGAGCTTTTGCTCCACCGCCATTCTGACAAATGGGACAATTGTAACAGCGAAGAACAGGACAGATAATGTTACCCTCTGGACATTTGAGAATGTGACTCTTGTAAAATGCCGGTGGATGACCATTGTTTTTACAGAAAACACATCGGTGCAAGTTGGATTACGTCGACGAACCCTTGGTGGAACATAAGAAGCTTGAAGACCATTTAAAGTACTGTTAGCAGCCAATGAATTATCAGAGTTATTATAACTACTATTGACCATAGAATGATGATTGTTATTATTACCAATACCAAAGGAATTATTGGTATTATTATTGATGGTGTTTGGATTAGTCGAGTGTTGTTGATGTCCAGTGGTAAGATTGTTATGATAATTATTGGTATTATCTCTGTTGGAATTAGTTGCAGGATTGATGGAATTATAATTATGCGAGTTAATTTGATTGTTATTGGTGTTTGATAAGTGATTTGAATTTATATGATTACGGGGAGTGACCGAGAAAGAAGAAAATAAATCCCTGGTTCCAATAGGAGGGCAACTTCTCGGTGGAGCGATCCATTGATTGTTATAATCATAACTGTTTAATCCTTTGGTATTAAATGGGTTTGAATTAATACCATTGATTGCATGAGTTAAATTACTAGAATAGAGGCCACCACCATTACCATCAACACCAGTGGTACCTCCAATGGTACCACAATTAGAATTGTTGTTAACACTATTACTATTATTAGTAATATTATTGTTATTCTCACCAGCGGGTGTAAGATTAGAGGTAGAATTTAGATTACCACTAAAATTGAACAATCCATGTTGATCATTGGTTGACCATCCACTTGAAAAGAGTCCATTAAACCGATCTACCAGTAGATTGGAATGAGAAAATTCAGAAGCCTTGAGATTGAAATCAATGGGCTCCGAGAATTTGGGTGGACGACGCTTAGAAAAACTATCCATTGCCATTGGAGAAGAAGAAGATTAGATGGAAGATTAGATGAGGAGAGACAAAGATTAAAGATGGAGATACACAACACACAATAAAGAAGAAGAAGAAGAAAAAAATAATCAAATTCTAATCAAAGGCAGAAAAACGAACAATCACAAAATGATTAGATTATCTAATGAGAGAAGGTAAAATTTAGAGAATAATCAATAAATTGTTGACAAGGTAAATAAAAGAATAGAATAAAATTACTCGGTGATTAACTGTAAGGAAAAGATTTGATTAAACTGATTAAGATTCACATTGACTGTTTGGCTTTTTAATAAGCAGATTAACAAGTGATCAGGCTCATTGTTTTTCCCTCCAACTTTTCACAATCTTAACCATTGATAAGAGAAGAGGGAAATTAATTTGTTCTTTCGTTGAAAGAGAACAAATTGACTGGAGGGAGAATGAGGGAGAACCAGGAACGAGAGAGACACTTTTCTTCTTATCGCAACTGTAACATTGTCTCTTCGTAATCATCATCATTTTTTTCATCATCTTCTCATCATTTTCTCACCAATCGTCATGCGAACATAATTATTGGTATTTGTTTGTTGTTCTAAAAAGCTCATGACTCATACATTTGTTTTTCCCTCATTTGTGTTTCTTGCAATTCTTTCCCTTGGCTTTTAATTGTTGACAATTAGGTTCATCAAAAGATGTTATTTCTTTTCGTTTAAATTGTTTCTCAAACAATTAGACCAACCACAGAGTCTAATTAGTTGACAATCTCAAGGGAAACAAATTGTAATTTCTTCAAAATACCACAAAAAGTGAGATGAAAAATTTAATCTTCTTTTCTATTGGTCATCAAATTAACATTTTCACATCTATTGGTTAGTTTTGATTCTCTAACAGATTAATCAGATTAGATTGATTATTGATCTTGTTTGGTGATTATGATTGGCAACTTTTTCCTTCCGTTCAATGTTTTTCTTTCAATTTGATTTTCGATTTTTTTTCTCGAAAACAATCAACTTGATTCTCTTCTTCTTCTTTTAATCCATTGCCGTAATCTCAACGTTCCAAACTTAATTTCTTAGTTATTGAATAATTGATTGTTAATCGAACTGTCATTTCGTTTTTTTATTCTTAATTGTTGAATTACTTTGATTCACTTTTCAGTTGTGGGTTAAAATTGTCTTAGTTAGTTAACCAAGAAAACAAAAACAAACTAATGAAAAATTTTAAGCGCAATTTTTTAATTATTGATTCAACATAATTGCTAATCCGAAAAATGAATGAAAAGATGTTACAATATTCAGATTATTGCAAAAGTGAAAAAAAGTTATAAGATTTCAGAAGATGTTTAATTTAAAGTTGAAGTTGTTTCGCTACCTCCCACGGGAACCCTTCCCTTCCAAAGTGACCCCAAACTGCCGTTTTTGAAAAGATCGGTTTTCGAAGACCCAATTCCCTGAAAACAAAAATGGAAAACAAAAAGTTAGTGAAAAAAAAGTTGAAATTATTTTCTCTGGTGGTTAAGGAGAGAGATGAGAGAAATAATTACTTAATAATTGTTCCAGGTCTGAGGTCAAAGTTTTTCATAACTATATCATGCAGTTGTTTTGACGATAAAGATGAAGTTCCATAAGAAAATACTGTAACTGAAAGAGGCTCTGAGATACCAATGGCATATGAGATCTAAATTAATGAAATAAGAGATTTAATTAAATGTCAAGAGATTAATGAATGAACAACGATTAATTAAATGAGTCAGATTACTCTTGTTTATATTATCTTGTTATCGGTTAATATTTACCTGGACACTACATCGTCTGCATAGTCCACTTTTAACAAGCGATTTAGCGACCCATCGAGCGGCATAGGCTCCAGATCGATCTACTTTAGTAGCGTCTTTACCAGAAAAAGCTCCTCCTCCGTGAGCACCCCAACCTCCATAAGTATCGACGATTATCTTACGTCCAGTGAGACCGGCATCAGCCTGACAGAGGGTAAAAAGAGAGCGAGAGAGAGAGAGAGATAATATCAATAAATGATTGATTGATCCAATATTTAGAAGCGTATCTTTCGTGTTAACTGAATAAAAAGTCACTTAAATAGTCAACTTACCAATGGACCGCCAGTGATGAACTTCCCACAAGGATTGATGTGATAGATTGTTTTATCATCCAAATATTTGTCAGGAATAACAACTTTAATCACCTTTTCCATAATTTCTTTCTTAAGTTGATCCATTTCAATCTCTGGTGAATGTTGAACAGAGATAACAATAGTATGAACTCTTGATGGTATAGCGGCTCCTTTATCGAAACGATATTCACAGGTAACCTGAGTTTTGGAATCAGGTCGAGCCCAAGCAAATGTACCATCACGTCTAAGTTGAGATAATTTTTCATTCAATTTATGAGAAAGAACAACAGTTAAAGGCATACACTCTTCAGTCTCATCAGTAGCATAGCCAAACATTAACCCTTGATCTCCAGCACCTAAATGTTCATCATCTTTATCAGTCCAAACACCTTGGGAAATTTCTTGAGCTTGATGTTCAATGGCAACCAGAACATTACAAGTTTTATAATCGAAACCTTTATCACTACTATCAAATCCAATGTGTTTAACTGTTTGACGAACAACATCTTGATAATCAACGTGAGCAGAAGAGGTAATCTCGCCAAAAACCATGACTAACCCGGTTTTACTAATAGACTCACATGCAACCTTAGCATATGGATCCAATGCAAGGTGAGCATCCAAAACAGCATCACTAACCTGGTCACAAAGTTTATCTATTAGTGCATAGCAACAAAGAGAACAATATAACACAAATAGAAAAGGTTAAAAATAACAACACAGTAAAATAATTAAAGAGAACAAAAGAGAAAGAGAAAGAGAGAGAGAACAAAAGAGAACAATAATAAAAAAAGAAATTCTAATTTACCTGGATGTCCCTCTCCCACAGATTCAGAGGTGAACAGGAATGTACCATCGTCATCAATTGAATTCATCCTGATTGAAATTCGATCAAATTGATTGTTAATTAGAAAAAAATTTAGAAGATGAAAAAAATTTAATCAATTGTGATAAAAGAATGAGATAAAACTACAATTAGACCAAAGGATGAAGACACCACGAGGATTTAAGGAGTAAAAGTAACAAGATAAATGAAAATTCATCTCGGAAATGCTGAGAAAGAAAGAATTCCATCAACGCCATCTATTGTTTGAAAAGAATAGAAGTTAATTTATTTTCTTTAATTACAATTAATCATTTTGTTTAGAAAATGGATTTTTAATTGTTACCAATAAATCAGTGTAACTGTCAATTAGCTCGTATATTGTATTTAC